GAGAGAGAGAGAGAACCAGTGTGCTAACTGGTTAGCAAATTTTACTAGAATCAATAAGTTTTAAGTTCTATTGACCTTTAGGCCTATACTCCTTTATTTTTAACAAGCAAGAGATTTATTGTTATAGAACCTTAAAAGAAATAAATTTATGTTTTTTAGAAAAGAAAATACAGTGAAGCTTTGCAATATCTCATTCTTTATATTACATTTCATGCACCATTTCCTGTCTCCCCTTATATATGTTTATTTAACAGCAAGAAGCAACCTGGCCTTTTTTTTTCTGGAAGATAAATGAACACAACTGTCATGTTAGTGTGCAAAAACACATCTCAATCATCATTCTGAAAACTTTGACATCCTGGTATCTTTTCTTTTCTCATCCCCCTCAATAGTGGATGTCTAAATCTATAAGGTAACATACACAACAAATCATTAGTGGGCAAAATAGCAGCCACCTTATAAAGAACTGATAGAACAATAGCTGCATTCTCCTATTGGCAACTGAATTTGGAGCACCTTGTTATTCTAGCTCAGACCCGGCAGATCCTCAAATGAGGTAGTATCAAAGGAGAGTGAACAAAACAAGACTCCCAAGTCCACCCTCAGCTTACTTGTGACTGGGTATAGGAATAACTAAAATTTATATAATGATTCCAGCAGATTCTATGATGATCAAACAGCAAGAATATGTCACAAGAGGGGTTGACATGGCTGGGCTGAGCTTGGTAGGTCGATGAGACTTCACGGGTGTCAGATCACAAACCAACCCACTTAGCCCACCAGAAGTAGCGTCTAACTTTTGCGGGCAAAGAATAGGGTTCAAGAGAAGATGAATCAGTGTCTAGTCTCTTACTATCTGACCATATATATACCCCTCTTTCCTGTCTGCTACCAGGAACCGTGTTGTCGAGTATAAATGCCACAAGGAATGCCACCACCATGTTAAGTGATAAAAGACCATTCAGTGCAAAATTGAACTGCAAACATTAGGAAATAAGTTAGAAATAGAACTGAAAGAAAAAAATTAAAAAGGTGGAGTATCTAGTTATAAATTAGCAGAATAATCCCTTTAATCTTTCTTATATTTCATGCCATCTCGTTGGTGCTTTATAAGTAACTGACCAAACAGAAAAGTACTGGACTTTTAGAGACGTATTTACTTACAGGTTAGTATACAAACAACATATTTACTTACAGGTTAGCAGATTCTAGAGAATTGAGTTGGCAACTAATGTAATGTTGTCATCCATTCATGTAATAATCTCTGCAGAGAGTCTTTGGTAGGCCACAAAAAAAAGGCAAATTACAGGTAAGCATGCCAAAGCCTTACCCCTTCACTGCTAGTATGGACTGGTCCATTTGAAGCTGCCCCATAAGGCACAAGATAGCTTGGTAGAATGAGGCTGGAATTGGGTTCATACTGTTGAAAATATGCAGGAATTGAAAAAGAGATGAATAAAGTAAATCCAACAATAATTATATTCCTTGAACTTGCAGTTTGAGTATACTGTAAAGTAGAAAGGCCGAGTGCCACTATTAATGCCCATGTGAAGCAAAGAACAGAAGCAGCCAGCGCAAGTGGAATGGAAGCAAGGAGAGCACCAATCTTTCCTGAAAAGAAAGTGAAATATGAGAATATTGGCAAGAAATAATAAGTGCATAGGATGGAAAAGAAAATGAGAGTAATTTCATTTGCACATCAAGATTACTTTATAGCAGGAAGTAGCTTACCTACAAATGAGAAGAGAATTAGTAATGATGCTCCAAACTCCAGGGCCTTTCTGCTTGCTACCCTAGTGACATCAATGGTATGTATATTCTCGGTTATTGTTGTCGATCCAGTTCCAGTACCCCAGAGTCCAGCCAATATACTTGCAAACCCTTCCAAGCCTATTCCCCTGCTAACAACTCCAGGTGTTGGAGGACTCAAGTTCACTAACAAGGATGTAGCATGGTATGTCCCGACCTGGATGAGTTGATTTAAAGAAATGTTACAAAGCAGAAGAAGCCTTTTTCTGGATCATTTTTCCTCTTACAAACACATCATAAATAGTCAAGTCAAACAAACCACAAAGTTAAACCTCAGCTTTCACAACGGGGAAGAGGATAATCTAGTGTTTAGATGACAAAAGATAAGCCAGAAGTACCTACTGAAAGTGCAAGGCACTCTAAATTTTTCAGAAATTAATAGCATGAAGCCACATAAAAGCCTTTTCATGGTGCAAAGGCTTGATGATGCACGGATATACAGAGAGCAATATCTTGACTACTATAGTGAGTTGCCACAAAAAAATGAATGGGAACACATGCACAAATTTATATTGAAAAGACGCTTAAGATTTTCTAAATAGAAAAGGAATTAGTTAGTCGTAATCAATTTGTTATAATCATACAACTGCCATGTAGTCAGTGCTTGAGTGTGCTTAATTCCTTCAATAACATTTAAGTTCTCCCAGTTCAATTAACCATACAGAAAAGCCACTCACCGAGTCAACTGATGCAACCAGTGATACTATGACCATGATAAGTGATGTTCTGAAATGGAAGGTGGGAAAACCCCACTGGAATGGATAAGGAACCCTGACCCAAGCAGCAGCCCTCCAGGCATTAGAAACATCAGTTCGACAACGCTTCATAGTAATTTCATGTCTTCTACACCTATCTGATAAGATGTTTGAACTTGGTATATTTGAGCTGCAACCCTTATAGTTATAAGCCCCACCTGCTGTCAGAAAGAATGCATATGCCCACACAATGGCAACGCTGAGCGGAACCTAACAATAAAAGAAGCAACAACTCTGTGTTATTATGTTTGCAAAAGTTATATATAACAACAAATTAGAGAAAAAAAAAAGAAGTATAAAATACATCACGAAGAGATTTATACCGCATAAATTAAGAATATACGATTCCCAAATAAGGATATTCTTCTGAGATACTGCAATTAGGCAAGAATGACAAAACAATTATGATCATTCTCTAGAAGCAAACATGTCTACTTAAAGGAGTAAAGAAAGAAGATTGACTAATAAGATTTCTTGCACATTTAAGCAGCAAAATAGACACATTGGGAGGCAAAGCTCAATGCTTGCAAAACAAAATCCCGAGATACTGCTTGCAAATTCCTTACCAAAGTGAAAATTAGAACCAATAAAATTAAGGGAATGCTTATTTCCACGCAACTCCCAGCTTGAGGAAAACCATAGCTGAAGAAGGCCAACCCTACTACAGCCACTGTTGGAGCAACTACCACTGGATTTATTAACCTGTAGACCAAAATAAAGTTGGCAAGGTATAATTTTTGCCAAATGGAACAATTCTATGAATAATTAAAAGTAAGGGAAGCATATGAGGGCCTTCAAAATATTTCCCAATCAAGGAAATGACCAATGCATTAGCTTCTCTCCAGTTTCTGCCTTAAACATATCCTTTTTTGGTTACTTACTGTCTCTCTCAGGCATTTTGCATGCATTCTATCATCCTAAGGAAATCTGGCCACTACTTGTTCTGAGATGGGTTGCCTAGGACATGTGTAAAAAACATTTTCCAGTAAACAAAAGTATGCCACATGTCGATTGGTTTCTATCATATTAGAAACACAATGTAGTTCATAAGAGGACCATTTCTTCAATAATGAACTCAAAATCATCTAACCATAAACCTGGTCATGTTCCATAGAGTATAGAAGCTTGGCCAAAAATCATGATTCTTACGATTCAAGAAATACAAAATATCATGATAATGAGCTACACTTCATTTTGTGCTTTCTTGCCCAACACCTAAATTTTATTTTGTTGCTTACAACATTTTGAATTTATTTTAGGTCAATCTCAATCTTCGATTAAAGGCAACATTACAGTAAAATATATCAGTGAACGAAGTGAAGGAACTACAACAGTGTTTACAGTAACACCCTGGAGTGAAAAATTTTCCCAGCTGCGAGTAGCACAAATAGAGTCTGTTCATTTATTCGGTGAAAAAATGTGTTACAGATATTGGGTCATATAGAGCTAAAGCTAATTAATCAATCTGTTTTGTCTTTTATTCTTCTAGTTAACTATCTTTGTTCATAGAACAAATTGCAAAACTAATTAGGCACTTCACCTAACTACTTTGTTATTTTCCAAGACTCTTGCCAGCAACGATCCTATCACACTCCTGCTTCCAGATTGCAAGAGGTGGGCACTATTTGCTTCACTATTTAGGAAGCAATAAGAAATTTTCTTTGGAAAGCAAATAATAGCCTGACATACAGACATGGATTACTAGATATTACTTGCTTTTAGGCCCTTCCTGTGTTTCTTAAGTTGTAAAGTCTGAACTAGTTGAAACCAGTTGAGGTGGGCTACAAGGATCTTGTCCACCATTGAATTCCGGTTGTGGGTAATTGACGGTATCATTACCAGTCAACCTAAGGGCCAGTGGATCTCTTTCTATTATTACAAACAAAGCTTTCTTAGGTACTCAACCACTCTATCAAATATTCTTTATGTGTTTCATAGCTGTTGCTAAAAATAACAAGTTTTATGGATTTTTCTTTTTAATAATGAAAATATAGAAGTTATTGCAGATAGCTCATACAGATTACCTCAGAAGAAGTGACATCAGGCCACTGTATCCCAAAACTGCTTGAAAAACTGAACCAACAAGTATAGCCCCTTGTAGTTCTCTCATTATGTGCTTAAACTTCTGCATTTGATCAAAACAGTGAATGCTTAATCAAACAACGCAATGGAGGTGCCATGAATGAAAAATAAGAGGATTCAACTCAAAATCCAAATTAAGTCCATTGTACCACTTAGTTTCCAGTTTGTACAAAAGATAAATAAGTATTAGTAAACCACAGTATCCATGGGGGTAGAAAATCTAAAAAAAGACAGTATGCTTTACTTAGCAAATAACAACAAGACTCAGCAAGCCTTGTTGCTAATGGATAAAGATAGCTAAAATCATTGATAAAATCACTGCTCACTAATCAGGTTATTAATCACTTCATTTGATAGCAGATTAATTAGAACAAAAATAAATTATTAAAAGTTCGTGTTAGTTTTACATGAGTCTCCTGTTCCAGCAATGTTACCTCTAGTATATGTCTTATTTAGGAGTCCCTATAAATCAGGAACTGCAAGGTGAACCACTAGGTGTATGATTGTAAAACTGAACCACCACCACATCTACATCATTTTTATCTCTTTGTTGGACTCTTGCAAGATACAGGTGTCAGTTACATAGAAACTTTCTCGAGTAACATGCTACAGGTAATGTTTTTCCTTAAGTATCTCTGCTGTCTCTTTAATGCTTCCATGCTAGCTTTGGTTGCAGCATCAATAATCTTGTGCACCCCTCAACTCATAGGATTGTTTGAATTCTCATAAAATTTCTAGTATTGGGTAGAAACAAATCTAGATGAATAACTTCAATTACTTAACCAAGAGGAAACAAACACCAAACTGGCTCAAACTTCTATTCAGGCACTATTGTTCTCCTAAAAAAAGAAGTACACGAAGAAATGGGTCTCATAGTTATGAAGTGGGCAAAAATGACATTAAATTCTACTGATTGCAAGAGTTGACCCCATGCAAGAACATAAAATGGATCTCATAGTTATGACTATCAAGAGAAGTTCAGGCTAATCATTATAAAAGTCTCATGAGTAAGTCTAAACAGGAGTTCCAAGATTGAAGTGAGATGCAATAGGCCAAGTGAAATGTTAATAATCTATGCTTGTTGTTAGATATTCCACAAGGCAAATTTCCTGCAAGAATGCTACTAAAATGAAATTGAAGTTTTTCATTTTTTAAGTGCCCTTGTTCTGTTGAGTTTGAATTGATGGAGTGGTCATACATATAAGTGTTCTGATGGTAACATAATCATTCTCCATCTATGTTTAAGACAAAATTCATACACATAAGTCCTATGTGTCTAGCAATAGCTAAAACATTTCAGCTACAGGAAAAAATTCCACAGTGGTAGAGGTTAGTGAGGTAATAGATGATCATGAAAATTACTTGGTTGTCATTTTGTAGTATCATAACCATATTTTTCAAGATAATATCACACTCATGCTGAAAAATAACATTAGACACAAGATGTTTATTCAATTAACAACATGTCTACTAATAGATATTACTAGATCTGCATTTTAGCTTGATGATCGTAGCTTCATATGATAGACTTTGCTACACTTTGAGAAAGGTCTTTGGATCAATGACAATCAGTTTAAGTTATATTTTCCTTTTGCAATGGTATCTATCAGTCAAATCTGCAAGTTTTGCATGAAGTCCATGTCTAAGCAATTGATATGAAGAAAGAAATCAACTACGGAATCAGACTCATAGGTACGGAAAATGTTAATAATATTTACCATGAGATAGGAGAAGCTGAGCACAAAGAAGAATAATTAACAGAAATAGAAACTTACATTTTCACTAAGATTGCGGAACTCTTCAGAATTAATGATTACCAAAGCAGGAGCCAGATAAACAAAGGAGCTTCCTTGGACCAACGGAAGCCTGCTGCCAAAGTAGGAATGCATTATTGTTGTGATACCAGAAACTAATAGCATGGTGGAAATCACAGTAGCAGTCTCCTCCTGCCAGAATTAACTTTCCAGTCTTACTACAAACTTTAGAATTATGCTCAAATGTGGAAACCACTGAAGAAAATTTTCTTACATCAGTACCACCCATGGTTGGCACCATGATCAAAGGGATGAACACAAGTGAACCAGCCAATGATAAGTAATGTTGTACGCCATAAAAAATTAGAGGCACTGCAATAAGTATACAGAGTAAGAAATTAACAAATTCAAGAGCATTGGAGATTTGGAAACAAGCACATATTTCTCCTTTTCCTCATAAAACAGGAAAAGAACCACAAAGTAAGTTATGAAAACCATGGATTATATAGCAATTCAGACTTATCAGCATGCAACCAAAATATCAAGATAATTAAGTGGCAAGTAAACAATGTTGGCTTTTGTACTTGTGAAATAAATGCGCGAGGACGATTGAATGTTATACAACACAATGCTGCAAATCATGTCGTTCCGATTCCCTTTCCAGCAGATTTTGAAGTTGTTTATCTCCGTCGGAAGGGACACAGTAGAGCTGAAGAAAAGGCAGGGAAAGCGCACTTACCAAGACCAGGGTTTTCGGTCACACCGGCTCGAAACCCCGACGGTGGCTTGTACCCAGAAAGATCCTCAGGCTCTTGCCCATCCGAAAAGAAGTCGATTTCCACTTCCCTCTCGTCTTTCCCCACTTCCCTCTCATCTTTCCCCGCCTCCTTCCTCGAATCCTCATCAGCTTTAACGAGAGAAATTGCAGCAGCCCCGTTCCCGTGTCCGTTACCCTCCGGTCCGTCACTCTTAATTCTTAACGGAGTCTCCTCTCCAGCCTCTCTCCTCTCATCCTTCAACCCCACCGCCGGTGGCTCGACCCCAACTTTCCTCTTCTCCTTCTCGCTCCTCGCTGCCGGCCCAGCTCCCGGACCCGGCACCATCGGGCCGATCTCGACCCCCCTATTGGTCCTCCCGCGGCCTGCCACTGGCTCGATCTCGGGCTTCCTCGGCACTCCGTCACCTCGGCGGCGGATCCCCCTCTCCAAATCCAGACCTCGGGCGGAGTTCTGCTCGTCGGCGGCGTCCCTGTCGCTGACGACGCTGGCGGTCTCGCCGGAGTGGTTGGGGTTGAAGCCGGTGCGCCTGGCCCAGGACATGAGCTCCCAAGGGTTGTGGTCCTTGTTGGCAAAGAAGGGCTCGATCCGGGGCGGCCAAGGGCCGGGCTTCTGCGGCCGCGCCGGCGGCTTCCCCCCGGGACCTTCCGAGCTCGATCCAGAAGGATCCATGGTCGGACGTGGAGGAGGAGGAATCCGGGATCTGCCAACTCCAACTTGAAGAGGGAGGGAGACAACAATTATGGAAGAAGAGGCGAGGAGTAGAAGGGAAGGAAGCGAAGAGGAGAGGCTGCTTTATTCGTGAGTGGGATAGCAGTGAGGAGGCGGCGGTGAGGTGTCTCTTTCCAAGAAATTATTTCCTTCGATCTTTTCTTCCCTCTCTCTGTCTGTTTCTCGTTCGCTCGAGCCGTGTCGCTGCTTTGGTGAGGGAAGAGCAGAGCAGGGGGTGAAGAGGTGGGTGGGGGGCGTTAATTTATCTGTTTTGGAAGAGAGTGAGGGAGCGAGTTGGCTTGTTCCGGTAAGAGACGTTCGAAGCCGGTGAGAAAAGCAAGGGTTTGGATCGCCTATCTTAGCGCCGACACCGTTTGCGATAACGCAGTCATTTTCTTTGTGGTCCCCGGCGTCCGTTTTCCGCAGGAGGGGCTAGGGAATTGGAATTCTGATTCCCTGTTTGGTGACTCGAGCGAGACAGAGGAGTGAGTTACTGTTCGGGATTCCCATCCGTCGGTCATTAATCTGTGGCTCCAGAAACTTTATTCTCTTATTCGTTCTTTTTATTTTATTTTCATATTATATATTTATATATTAAGTCATCAGTGGCGAACGCCAGGTTTGTTGTGATCCATGCGGTTTGAAAGAAGGACCGTTATGGGCACTGTGACACTGTGGTATACCTGTCAATGTAAATAATTTTTAAAAACATTAAAACTTTTATTTATTTTTTTCATTTTTAGCTAAAAAGCTTTTGGACCACTTTTGCCGCAAAAGTCTCGTATCTGTCGTCCTTTTATTTCCACTTAATATGTTGGCAGGCCATCCATTTATAAAATGATAAAATTCCTTTTATTATCGAAAATAAGTTTATTTTCAAAATTCTCTAACAGCATCCCTTTTTTTTGCCTCTGTGAATACCTATTTCTTATGGATTGATTCATACGGTGAACAATCCATAGAGTTAATTAGTTCTGATGTTGTGTTTTTACATTAAGTTTCATAAGGTGAATAGTTACAGTATTTTTATATTACGTTATTATATTTTTTTATAATATTACTGAAAGTATATTATATAAAAATATTATAATTAAATTGATTATTCGATGGACCAGTCGATAGGAAATGGAAAAAAAAAGGCCAGCTGGTTAGAAAATTTTATGCATTATGAAAAAAAAAAGTATTGTTAATTTTTTTTTTTTTTAAAGAATACTTTCTATGCCAAAACTATATAGAAAAAAATTTATCGATAATTCGATACTCTTGTTATCTAAAAAGAAAACCCAATTGAGTGATACGGTTTCTCTAGTCAGTGCAAGAACAAATTGATTATCATATTTTTATTTATTAAAATAAGATTCATACTTAAGTCTCAATTAATTGAAGTTCTTATTAACCTTAACTATCAATTCTATTATGGGTTTTGAGGTTTCTTAGGATGGTTTATTTGAGAGTTTTAGTGAATTTGACTTTTTTGTTTTACTCATCCTTATATTTAAGTTTATGTATTTATTTATTAAGCAAGAATTACAAAGGATAATTAACAAAAAGTAATATTCAAACCGAGGAATAAATTAGTTAACATCTTCTATAAATAATATAATAATATTTTTATTATTGAACCAAAATAATGTAGTCGGTTTGGTTTGATATCGGACAGATTTGATTGAAAAACTGATCTAACATAATAGGGTTAGAAAAAATCAGCTTTCTTTTCTGGTGGTGAAATAACTTGTTAAGAAAGGGCTCTCAAACAAGATGGATAGGAGGTTTTGATCCCAAATGTGAGGCTTTTTCCCGAAAAATAAAAATAAAAAAAAATTGCCCAAAGCTCTTTCTTCTTTTTCTTGACCTTCCTATTTTCTCTTTTCCTTTCAAGTGGGTGGTTTAACCCCTAAACGTCATGAGTAAAAGGAAAATAAAATTCACAAAAAAAATATGTAAAATATTTCTAATCCTTTGTCATAGCCGTCCTTAATTATATTTTCACTCCTCTAATTAACGTTAAATTAAAATCGCCATGGTATAGTAAGCTAGGCAACAGTGCGTCCTTGAGATGAATTTTTTTGGTTTCGGGCGGTCCTATCATAAATTTAGTTCATACATCATTTTCTGCTTCCTCTTCAGGATGTGATCTTCCTCCAACTCTCCACAGTCCTGGTTGCCTGCGTGTCGTCACCATTCAACATCATGGTCAAAATAAAATTTTGACCTTCATAAACAAGAGAAGGCAGTGCATTTTTTTTGGAAGCAGTGAATTCACAGATTACTTCAATTTCCAATTAATTAAGGGATAAACTAAAATAAAATAGCAACGTCCAAAGGAGTTCCTTGGTATACTATAGGCATGTTTTATCCACAAAAAACAAATTTTATCTCTAACTTGATGCTACATGAATCGGATTCAACTTAACTTTCAGGTCCAATAAGTAGAACAAGAGAGAATGACCTAATGTCACTGCACAAAGAATTAAATAAGATAGACAAATCCAAAATCTGTGCTAATCATTCACAAGGTCATATTTATATAAGGTGTCATTAAGATCCTTTTATATATAATATTATATATATATATATATATATATATATATATATATTATATAACTTGTGCAATAATGGAGTGGAAGACTCCGCTATAATTGCTTTCCACTTGTGTTGAATTATCATTCTCATCGATTACGTTACTTGTGTAATAGTAGGTGCATGATCAATCGTGATTATTGTCCAACTGTTATTCATTGGATGAGGTCATATGACGATGATAGGTGACCTATGTGTCGGCTAGGCATCGCTTATGTGTCAGTTGAGTGTCACCAACATGTCGGCCATGCATCGCTTATTGGTCGATCATGTGGATTACATCTATGAGACTTCGATGACTATTATGCCCTTAATATGAAGTTTTAGAAATGAAGACTCAATGTTGATTTGTCAATCAAGTGGAGGCAATATGTTGGAATAAGGTTGACACATCACTATGTGAGACTAACGTATTAGCCACATCATTTTTACCATAACACATGACCCTACTTCTCGAGTCATGTGTAGTGAAATTTGGTCAAAAAAATACTATTCTGTTGGCATCAGTTTTTGACATTACAATGAGTGTGCGATAGATCAATACTGCTAGGCATAATGACACATGATGGGCTGACATGGTCAAGCACAGTGGCACACGATGGGCTAACACAGTTGGGTGTGGTGGCGCATGATAGGTCGACATGACCAAGCATAATGGTGCATGATGGACCAACATGATCAAGAGTGGTGGTGCACAATATGATAGCCATTTCTTGGTTGCCCGCGTGAATGCAAATGATCTTACCATGATTTGACAACCGATCATGCACCGTAACTACTTACAATTTTGTTGATGTGACTAAATCCTACACCTTCTAGTAGTGGTTACGTGGCTCATGGTGGATTCGACAAGATGGTAATGATGATCCAAATAACCCTCATGTCACTCGGATTGTGCCATGTAACCACATACGTTTAGATAGTGTCATGTCCCACCCTCTCTTTGAGGTGCTCGAAAGGTGAGCGGATAGTTGAGTAGTGGAAGTATTAGGCTCTGCCCCTATAAATAATAACCTACAGCAACACTTGTTCTTCAAATCTACTTACAAGTTTGTTCTCCTTGGATATTAGAGTCGATGCTAAAAATCTCAATAAATATAGGTTCGAAATGTCATCTTTATCCTCTAACTCTAATTCCTTGGACTCAAATAAAACACTAATCTCATCCGTGTCCGTGGATGATGGAATTTCACCCTTAGAAGGAACTGAGCCAATTGTGCCAATAGAGGTTGTTCCTTCAAAGTTGAATTCATCTTGCAATGTGACTCTACCACTTTTGGTAATCCCTCAACTTGGACTCAGTTTTAGAGGCTTCCGACTTAGAGATTCTCTTAGAAGCCTATCATATATCGGTTGAGTTCGAGCTGGTGCCTACTCAGTCAGGTGATCGACCTTATGAGTTGTGTCATATGTTTTGCATGTCCTCGGACATGCTAGAGACGAGACTTTACTTCCCAATTCACCCATTTTTTATAGAGGTTTTTGGCTTCTAGAAGTTCTCTCCTATCTAGATGGCATCGAATTCATAGCTCTTTCTTATGACGGTTGTTTGGGAATGTGGAAGGATTCATATTACCTCTATGCTAACCCTTTTGTTTGCTTGCTATAGCTTATGCTTCAAAGGGTTGGCATACTTTCTCTCTACCCAACCCAAATGTTAGGGTCATGGGGCTTTAACTTCCTTCAAGGGTTGGAAGAAAAGGTACTTTTTTGTTCTTTTGAGGAACAAATAACCAATTGATTTAAATTGGTCCACCTGTAAATTTTCCAATGTGGCTTCAAGATTGCACAGGTAGGAAAAAAAGCTATTTAGAAGAATTGCTCTAGCCCCATTCGAGTCCACTACTATCCTTCAAATGAGTTAGTAGTGGCCTTTTACAGTGGGATTCAACCTTCCTTCTTAGGGTAAGCCATTGATAACTCTGCTAGGATGACTTTTTTTTTTATGATGTTAACCTTTAGTCTTCCTTTTATGGACATGGATCTCCAATAAATTATCTTAAAATTTATTATTTGTCGATGCGGTGGATACACCAAGTCGGCGATATCACGAGGATGCGAGTTATCAAAGGCTCATAGAGAAGAAGAGGTTGATTGAGAACCCATTGACTAGTTGCTAAAGGGAGGAGGGCATTAGACACTCATGTTGGGCAAAAGCGACCTCCACCTCTCCTAAGCTGATAAAGGCATAAGTAGGAAACTCGATGATCTAGGGGCTCATGAAGATTTGACTCCCCTCTCTTTAGGGGTCATCGCATGAAACCCACTAAGAAGAGCCCCAATAAGAGGAACTATGTGAAGGGAGTAAGTAGCAACTACAGTAACAAGCAGTTCCCTTTGACTCAAGAACCCATTGACTAGTTGCTAAAGGGAGGAGGGCATTAGACACTCATGTTGGGCAAAAGCGACCTCCACCTCTCCTAAGCTGATAAAGGCATAAGTAGGAAACTCGATGATCTAGGGGCTCATGAAGATTTGACTCCCCTCTCTTTAGGGGTCATCGCATGAAACCCACTAAGAAGAGCCCCAATAAGAGGAACTATGTGAAGGGAGTAAGTAGCAACTACAGTAACAAGCAGTTCCCTTTGACTCAAGAACAAGACCTTTGACTAC